TTATCGTTTATGACTTAGGGTTAGGGTTAGGGTTTTTGCATCATTCCTTGATATACGGAAAGTTTTGTGCATCAGTTGATGATACACAGAAATCTGTGCATCACTCGTGTATACCTAAGGTGCCTAAAGTGGATTTGCACCACTAGTACTAGCTCACAAGGCACTTGGAACGTCTCAATAAAAAAAATAATGGTAATAACACCGAAATGTACACAAAGTCTTAATGTTTCTCTACTCTATTTCGCCTATAATCACCTGTAAATGCGGTGAACAATGCTCATCTGCAACATACAAGTACGCCGCACGCCCGCGCTGCTGCACAAACAACATGAATAGAGAGCAGGTAGGAAACGCTGCTGCCAAAATTCGCTCGACGCTCGCTTCATTTCACATCTCAGGCTTTCAGTTTGAAAAGTACAGGAGACTACTAATGACTCCCCTAGAACACCACAGGGGGACTTTTCCGTCATCCTTACTCCTTAGATATCACGAAGTGTGTTACTGTTACTGTTAGGGTTAGGGTTAGGGTTTTTGCATCATTCCTTGATATACGGAAATTCTGTGCATCATGATCAGTTGATGATACACAGAAACCTGTGCATCACTTCGTGATACCTAAGGTGCCTAAAGTGGATTTGCACCAGTACTAGTATTAGTACACACTAACACAGTACCGAGTACACTCACACTGTACACAGTGACAGTGTGACAGTACTCAGTACAGTAGTACTACTACTGTACTAAACCGACCAGGCTCTCCGACTGTTACACGACGGAGGAGTGTAAGACGGAGACGGAGACGGAGACGGAGACGGACAGTTACCCCCTCTCGCCACGTAGTGTTAAGCGAGATGGGAACTTGTGGCTACTACTGTACTAGTAGTAGTAAGTACACAGCTACACTGTACAGTACTCTTGACAGTTGTATATGTTTTGAGTTATTATGTCAAAAGAAACTCATGAATCACGCACAAATGTGTTTAGCTATATGAGAAAAATTACATCTGCACACTTGTTCGGTGTGCACAGTAATGTAAAACATACCTGATGCCTAATTACTTGTGAACACGACAACAGTCTGGGGAGCGCCATGTTTGCAGTTTGGGTTGCTAAAAATTAATGTCGAGAATCACATTTATTCTTTAAGATATAGTTAAACACTACAGATTTGTCTATTATTAGTTTATAAACATTTATTTACACGTTACAGCAGTTTTTGTTTGTGTAATTTATAAAATAAATTTTAATAGAAAGACGAATGATAAAATCACGCGAGATCTCGCAGAATTGCGTCACGTCTCTGTTCCTAGCTGCCATTTGTCCGAAAAGGAAATTCCGTAAGTTATTAAATATATGTCTCTTATCTAAGTAAGTACTTTAATTTAAACTTTTATGTATGTTACAGTAAGCTTGGCAATAGTATGTTCATTGTTTTTTTGGCATAAAAACCACCAGATATTCTCGGTATAACGACTGCAAATTGTTACTAGTTAGACATGAAATTTTACATAGCCTATCCCTAGGTTAACAACCTTGGTCTACATACATGGTTAAGTAGTGTTATGGCCAGGGGCGTTAGTGATGAACGGTGTATTGTTGTACGGTATAGTACAGATATTTACTTTTTGGCAACTATAATACTTCCAATGAAAAACCCTTGTGCTTGACGCAGGTGTTGGGTTAGCTCTAGTACTATAGCCTGCGTAACCCGACCAGGCTGTGTGACTCAATGGATGGATGTCAGGCGGTGTATTGACGTTACAGCTACAAGATTTTACGTAATTGTTCGGTAGTTTTTGTAATATCTCAAATAAAATGATCATCTAAGCATTTCTGCCTTGTTTTGTATCAAATATAACCTTCACCTTATAGTATTCCAGCGTTGTTATTAAAACTAATACCTCAGTTCGCTGTGCACAGTGTAAATTTCAAGAGCCGAACCTAAATTTCACTTTAACCGCCAACCGCCATGTTTCCACTGCGCATGCGTTTCGATCGGAACGCGGAAAACCCGAAACGACATAACATACCATAGCGTTGCAACTCGCGTTGGCGCGAGCATAAATAAGCATCATATACTCGTATATATATAAATATTAAAACATTGAAAACCAGGAAACATCAATCTACAACAACTTAATAATTATCATTGCGAAGATATGTACTTGCCTTGTGTTTTTGGCCTACGCACTGTGAAAATCAGGTCCATTGCCAATTTTAGTTGCTAATATACATTGCCAAATAACCCTACCTAATTTGACATTCTTTTTTTTAATTAAAACCCCTAGCCCTTATTCTAATTCACATACCAAAAATGAGCAAATCCGTTGAAACCTGAACTGACTAATGACAATTCCATTTTGCCAAAAAATTGCCGTGGCTCGAAAGTACGTTCAACTGCGCGTGCTCCAAATAGGACGTTCATATGGAGCATAGCAGTAACAACTATACCCAATTTCAAACATGTGGTCAAACGGTTCCTGAGTTATCGTTGACCAAAACCAAATGTTGACGGGACGGACGGACGTACGACGACCATGGCAATAGCTCAGCCTTGACGATGTCAAGGTGAGCTAAAAATGGACAGTTGGAAAGCCGTGGTTACAAAACACACAGCAGGGATGAAGTGTGGAGCACATCGGCACCCTAAAAAGTCGAGATGATTAAGCGAGCAGCACCTTTATTGACGGCTGCGTGGGACGGCACGCCGTGAACACAACAGCATTTGAAAACGAAATCGCAAGTAGTGCTAGCACTTTGAGGAATAAATGCATAAATACAGGGTGTAGTGTTGTGGAAAGTGTTCAAAAGATAGTGAGATGTCCATGTAGATAAATAATGTGAAAAAGCCGATAATTCTGCGTTTTGTGAGCCATTTTTTATTGGAAGATATGGGGACAGGTGCAGTTACGAACCTGGCAATAAAATGTTCTACAGCCCTGTACCCGACAGGCTGTGTGACTAACGTCAATAACACCGCCTGACATCCATCCATTGAAAATCTTGTAGCTGTACAAAAACTACCCGAACAATTACGTATATCTCAAATTAAATGATCATCTAAGCATTTCTACCTTTTTGTATCAAATATAACCTTCACCTTATAGTATTCAGCGTTGTATTAAAACAATACCTCAGTTTGCTGTGCACAGTGTTAATTTCAAGAGCCAAACCGAAATTTCAACTAACGCCAACCGCCATGTTTGCAATGCGCATGATTTTCGAACGGCACGCTGGAAAACCCGAACGACATAACATACCATAGCGTTGCTACTTGCGTTGGCGCGAGCATAAGAAGCATCATATACTCGTATATATATAAATATTAAAACATTGAAAACCAGGAATCA